GATCGTGTCTTGTGTTTTTTGTCTGAGCCGTTGGCCCATGTGAACCCGAGTGTCAAATTTATTATCTTGTTGGGCTGACACTCGGGTATTACCATGTTGGTGTATTTTTAGTTATTTTAGTTATGGTGTTGGTTAATTTAGTTGTGAGTTTTTATTTTAGCGTTGCTAGTCAAAATTTTAGGCGGTCTTCTGACTTGTCCTCCCACTTTTTCAGTTGTTGGCTGCTGTGTATTCACACTTCTGTGCATTTTAATTTATAATATTATCTATAAAAAAAAAAAGAAAAATTGTGTTTCACAACACACTCAAACATTTATCTTACCACGTGTGCAAAGTGGATAATAATGATGATATTGAGACTTAGGAGGTGATTGTTTACAAAATAATCTGCTCACTTTTATTTCAACTCAAAATCTAACTCAACTTTAATCAAACTCCACTATCTTTAATATTATTCATATAATTAAAGAATACAAACAAATCATTCTTATACATCACATCAACTTTAATTTACTATTCATCCACTCACATAACTACCTATCATTTCCAATCATTTATCTCTTACTTTTACATCAAATCAATTTTAATTATTTTATTTCAAATATTATTTTAATACATACTTAAAATTCCACTATAATTAACCATACCACCTTTTTTAAAACTAATTATAGTTAACCAAAATAACTCAATTTGAACAAATTAATTCATAAACAATCAAGCCCTTCGTATTTTAAATTTGTTGTATGTGGCGATAAGGACAGTGGGCGAATAAATTTGGCCTGTGGTGGTTTGGGCTCTTAATGGGCCTCACTTTTGATTTTGGGGTTTGTTACTGCACTTGGTACATAAAATTGCTCCCCAAGACAATTCTCTCGGTTTATTTTGCATTGTTTTCACCCACCAAATGTATATATTATTTCCAACATGAGTAGATTTTTCTGTTCAACTTTTTAGCTTAATTATCACAACCACAATAGATTTCACCCTTCAAGTGTGCACAAGTATCTCATCACTAGATCAATACATAACGATATGAATACGTATGTGTGTACATGTAATCCAATTGTGAGAAATGATGTGAGCACTACACATACATGTAGAATCGAATCTTCCCACCACCACATCATCAAGACATTCTCATCCCAATAGATCGATGTTTATAATTCAGACCATCATAATTTCAATTACAAAATAATCAAGATGGATTTCAAAGTCAGAGAAATTTTTATCTAGAAATTCAAAACAAGGTGGTTAAATTAAGATGACTGCACTAGATTATACGAGAAGCTAACCTCAGGAATGCATAAGCACCTACATTTTGTAGCAGCTTTTGCAGCAGCCATGGAAGGAACAGAACAATATAATTAAGCTAAGTGCATATGAATGGAACTACTGAGTTAAGACCAACTTCTTACATGTCGGGTTGTGTAGGGAATAGGATTCAAAATGAGCTCAGACAAAATGTTCTGTAGGGTATTCATTTTCATACCCATTGTAGTCATAGTACAGCCTTTCTCCTTTTTTTATGTCTCTGCTTGCAATCAAAAGAACTCGACTTTCACCATTAACATTAAACCTCAAACATTTCACATTTTGCTTCTTTTTCCTGCCCCTGCATTCACAGCCCACATGACAGCCTATCATCAGCACGAGTCACTCTTTGCAAGATTTGAGAGATGAAATTTGCATGAGATAATGTCAACATTTGTATTGTTTAACTGCAACTATGTTTATCGTGTGATTGAGACCAATTGCCTGTTTGCAACCAGCCAATCACTAAAGAATGATTTATCCTTTTTCAACTAGGAAACCACAAAAAATAGCCTCCAACTAACTTTTGCTTCCGAATCTACAGAATTTGACCAAA